CTTTTTCACTTGTTATCTTCTGAGCATGATCCCAACAGTATCCTTTGTCCCGTCTGGGCCGACATGACGTGGATGAGTCCCATTGGTGGATCGTGCACCACTAGCAGTCACCTGCTATTGGTGCAAATAAGACAGAGGATAGGGCCCTGTGCGCTAGACTTGTCGCTCTAGGAAGTGACCAACTGTCTTTTGGCTTATTATAGACTGGATATTATCGTCTGGAATTGAACCTAGGCGCGAGAGTTCCAAGTACCAAGGTCCAAGTGCGAGACCATGAGGGCGAGGGCCCAGGTCAGGCACTAGGTCGGGTAGCGACCGTTAACAAGGTCGTCCTAAAGATAGCAATTCTGTTATCTTTAATGTATTCCTAGAGGGATATGTTAACAAGTCCCCTAGGATAGTAGACGTCTGCATTGGCGTAGCGTAGCTGAGTTGTTCTAGCCTTGATCAGGATGCATGTTCTGTAGAGATGGTCTGGACGTTTGCTGATGTGACAGAGCCATCAGCACATGCAGTTTCTTCATTGAGACGATTCGATATTCCCACTCCTCATTAAACCACCCTTATGAGGAACATTTTTCTCTTTTACTCTTTCGTTCTCAACCGCTTCCGACTTCTCTTTGCTTACTCTTTCTCTTCTTTCTCGTGTTTGTACTTAGGAAAACAATGGCGAAACCATGATTTGAAATTGAGCTGACACCGGAAGAGTTTGAGTCTCTTTAGTTCTGATTTGGTTTCATGCCAGCGCATGGAGTGCAATTTCCAAGAAAGGGGGCCATCATCAATCGGCTACCGTCGGGTAAGGTCGGAGTCCCAGTCCCAATATTTTAAGCGGGATTGCGGTTAGCAACTACTAATTTGTTCGATGAAATCATGTTTCAGTATGGTTTCTCAGTGGACGATTTGACCCCTAACGCAGTGAACAAGGTCGTGGGGTTTGGACTGGCTTGCCGAGCCCTTGGTGTGCTTACCCAATTCTGGGTGTTTAAGGCTTACTTTAACTCGTCCACGCAGTCCAGTCTCCACACATTCTCTTAGAGGCAGAACATACACATATTCATCATCAAACATAAGGTGACTAAGAAAAACTGGCAGGATAAGTGGCTCTGGGTTAACAACAACCTGGTTGGTTCTAGTTATCCCCGACTGACCACCTTCTCTGACCGAGCGCCACAACTGTGGGGGTGCCATTCTGACTGTGGCTCAGGCGTTGAAGAATATTTGTTTCAGCGGGGAAGATTGCATCCTAGCGACAGCGGGAATGAGCGCCGCCTGGTGGGCCCGAGGGATGATGCCTTAGTTCTACGTGGAGAAGGATGGTGAGTACTCTTCTCCTCCCCCTCCCCCCCATTTTAACTTTTTGGAAGACGAAAGGGGTTGCTTATCCATTTGTTGTTTATATTCGCAAGTATCGAAAAGGTGTTATCCCTTGAGATGTTTTTGTGGGGAAAGTAAAAGGCCGATCTCCAGTACCATGAGGTACCCTTGGTGGAGATCCTTCCTCTGCCTGTTAGTACCGATCAGGCGCTGGTGCTCGCCGCTCCTTCTATCGCCAGGGGCGAGGGATCCGCCACTCGGGCTGACCCTGGTTTGGTGGATGCACCCGTTGGTGGTGTTTCCCATGACGATCCTCCACCTCAAACCTCTAAAGATGAAAAAACAAAGGAGGCATTAATCGGCAGCGGCCATGTAACCACCAAGCGTCGGATAAACTGGTGTGACATCCCCAAATTTCATGGCCAGAAAACACCGATTTGTTTATGCTTTATTTGAAAATCAGAGTATATTTTTAAATAAATATATTGCGGAATTTGTTCCCAGAAAAACATGATAAATATATTATTAAAGCATTTCCGAAGAAATGTATTTTGTTCATATTAAAACTTTGGGATGTCATCGTCAATACTGAAACATAAGCATAAACAGACCTTACATTTATTTACACTAGTGATCTACATCTCCTTTAAATCTCTTAGTGTAAAGTAGCTTCGTATCGACACCTGTTATACAAATAAACTTGAGTGGGTCAGGTTGGGAAACCTGGTGAGTATATAGGGTTTTCAACCCACAATAATATAATTATTATATTTAATCATCAAACAATCAACCGAATTACCCATCCCCATTATCTTCTTTAATCTTAAGGATCTACCCTAAGAATCATCTATCCTTCATTCCTAAGGATTATCCTAAGGAATAGGCACGAAGTCCATCGTTGCCCGAGGTTTATACTACAAGCACTAACGAACGTCGATCCCCACGTACTGATCCTATACAATGATCTTACAAGATCTAGCCTAAAGGATCGATATGAACAACAAACTGACGAAGCTGCTTCGGAAATTCCCTAGCTACAAACGAGGATTGATAAAGACATCAAATGAGGGGAATGAAATAAGTTTCACCACGAACCTTCGTTCGTAAAAGAAAGAACGACAAGACAATTAAGTCAGGGGTAGTTATCTAGATAACAATGCCTAGCCGTGGTCCGAATATCGTGAGGTATTTTTACCCCCAGACTCACCCTATCCAGCATCGAACTTTGCCTAGCAGTGGTCTGAATATTGTGAGGTATTTTACCCCCAGACTCACCCTATCCGGCATCATAACACCAGGCATACCTAGTAGTGGTCTATTACCGACACACTTCATTAGGCAGTCTACAAATTTCCCTCAATTACTTCGTGAAAGGAAGCGTTGACACATGAAGCTCATCCGATCACTTCATAAAGAAACAAAGACTCCAAAGCTCTTCAAAATAAAAAGTATAGGGGAAATACTAATAAAGTACTTCGGTACGCTCCCGTACCCCAATACGTAATAGTGTCAAAAAGAAGAACTTTGTACATGATACTTATCGGATGAACACATAGTTCAAAAACACTTGATGAACACATAGTTCAAAAACACCTAATGAACACTTAGTTCAAAAACACGTAATGAACACTTAGTTCAAAGATCCCTAATGAACACTTAGTTCAAAAACACCTAATGAACACTTAGTTCAAAAATACTTATAGGTTACGAGTCTGCTAACGTTCCACTGGACTATCTAGAATAGTTTGTGGTCGTTGTCTATACTCTGCTAGATGACTAGATCATCTTAAACATCGATACCTCTCATCAATTTTTATTTCATCACACATCATCTAATTCATCTACCCATGTTTTACCCAACATATTTGTAGATATACAATACATATACAGTTTAAATAAATTAAAACATGTATAAAATTCTTCATCCATCATAGATAGCAAGTATACAGATAATATGCACACATAGCACGTAATTTATATAAAATACTTCATATCTATGTGTAAGATGAAAATAATATGCACTCACCTTACTAGCGTGAGTTGATAGAATCTAACTAGAAACGGTCAGCGGTTCGTGATAGCCGGGCTCGAGAAGCGGAAACGGCTTCAACAAACGAGAGAGAGAGAGAAAGGAATTGGTGTAAGAAGAGCAAGAGCTGAACTTGCTATTTATAGGGTGATTTTTGGCCCCTCAAGTCGTGAGAATTCATTGCTCACGTCGTGAGCCATGCCTGATCACCTCGTAGCTTCGCTACCTGCGTTCTAGGCTTGCATAGTGTCCGTTTGACTCCTCACGTCGTGAGAATTGATGCTCACGTCGTGAGCCCATTCTGTAGACTTTCCATCTACATTCTAGCCTTGAAAAGTGGCGTTTTGACTCCTCACGTCGTGAGAATTAATGCTCACGTCGTGAGCCCAGTCAGATTAGGGTTTCTGACACGTGTCATGCTCTCAGACAGCTACAACTTCGGAAGGCCATAACTTTTGCATACGAGCTCCGTTTTTGACGTTCTTTATATCCACGCGAAGGTGGAGACATACTATACAACTTTCATTTAGAATCCTAAGGCTAAAAAGTACTCCATCATAAAATCACTTTTTATGATTCCAGTTGTCATGCCGGTTTTGTCGCGAAACTTCGACAGGTCATAACTTCTTCGTTATAACTCGAATTTCAGCGTTCTTTATATGTACGGAAACCTTGTGACATATACTAAAACGTAGTTAAGATTAATTATTATAAATAATCTTCTATCAAAAATTCATTTTTTGACGCTTATTGTCTCAAAACTGACTAGCCCAAATCTGCGGGCGTTACACCTGGACAGACTCCCCTCTTGTGGAGGATGTTGGTGCCAATACCATTGGCAGATGCCTTCACAAGAAGCGTAACATTGACTTTTTGTTGGGGAGGGGGGGGGGGTCCAACATACTAATCGACATCCTCGATGATGACACTTCTCACCAGTCGAAGGGGATGGACAAAGAGGCAACAGAACCGCCTCGGGAACAAAAGAAAGAATCGGAGGATTCCACCGGTCTTGACGGTGGCGAGTTTGGGAAGAAACCGAAGGTTGACATCCAAACTACTACTGGCTCTACTTGGTCTCCGATGAGAGACAACATTGTTTCTGGCGATTCCACAACGCCATTGGTGGCTCCTGACATTTATCTCTTAGAATGGACTCTTACTCATAGGTCCCTACTCATGTAGCATGATGTTGTGTATAAGTGGTGTCGTCATGCATTCCCTCCGGCTACAACAGAAGCACTAGAACTCATCTCCAACTCATATATGGCGAACAAGCTTCAGTATGAGGCAACCTAGGTTGCCCCCTACTTGGTGGCTGAAGTTGGGCACCTACGTCATGTGGGCTCAGACTTGGTGGAATTGATCACTGTCAAAGCTGAGTGTGGCAAATTGAGGGTGAAGGTATTGGGCCTTGAGGAGGAGAAGCGTAAATTTGAAGAACGCGATGACTTATTGGCCGGGGAGAAGGCTTTGGTGGAGGACGAAGTGACAAGCTTGGACGGAGAGGTGGAGCGCCTATCTCGGCAAGTGGAGACCTTGGCATCGGAGAAGGAAGTGTTGGAGGGGCAAGTGAAGTAGCAGGGTGAGCAGTTGATGACCGAGGGGTCGAGGAGGATGATTTTGGAGGTGGATGTGGCCTGGCTTCTCCAAAATGGTGTTGTTCGCATGGCGGATCGGTTCATTTAGAGCTCTGAGTTCTTTGGGGGTTCGACGGATGAATGCAGCGTGTGTGGCTGCCATTGTGGAGGGTGGTAAGCAGGCGGTGCGAGAGCAAGTGGCTTCCAGAAAGTTTAATCCAAAGGAGGCAAGTGCAATAGTGGAGCAGACACAAGCAATTCATGCCTCCGTGAAGGCCTTTATGGAGATATATTTTACTTCATATATCTTTTTAGGTGATATGGATTTGACAGGCCTCCGTCAACTATGCTGCGATCTCGACCTCGAGGAGAACCCATTGGAAAGTAGCTCTTAGAATGTTGGAACCTCCTCCAATCCACCTGGTAACTGATCTATCCCTCTTCTCTTGGTTTGAGATTTTGATAGTCGTGTTTTAGGAACAATAGTTGGACAAAGTTTGACTTGGTTGGTGACCCTGTGTGGTCTTTTTTAAGTTCGGGATGTTTCCAACAGACAATATGCTTTAACTTGTTTTGTAATGGTATAAGGTAATATTTCTCCAAAAGCCTGCTTGCTTTGGCCCCAGATGGTTTATGTAGGCTTCTAGTTTGATTTTTTGTTAGAGGTTGATGTTGGCCTTTGAGGTAAATTTGTTCATGTTTTTTCCCATTAAGGGTATTTCTTTCCAAAGTTTTGTGTTGGCCTTAGGAATTGAGTGGGAATGGCTCATACTTTCTTGGTAGAGTATTAAGACTCGAAGGATACTCTCATTTGATAGGTGAAATTTGTTTATATTTAACCAAGGTTTGTTGGTTTTGGCCCGGGAGTTTGCGCTCGTGAGATCGGGCTTGACCTTCTTTTGAGTCATTGGCCTATATTTTTAGGCTGAGTGTAACGACCAAAAAATCCAGAGTAAAAATTTCATTTTTAATATAGTCAAAACACAGATATCTTCTAAATCCACGCTTTCCAAAAATCTTGCTAATTAAAAACATTTATCAGAGTTCATCCCGAAATCACATACTGTGGAAAACACGGGTGTGTGCGCTGTGATCAAGCCGGACCCTTCCTTTCGAAACCGATGATACCTGAAACCATAAACAAAACTGTAAGCATGAAGCTTATTGAGTTCCCCAGAGCATACCCCACATAATCATACAATCCATATCAATCACATAAGCCATGCATATAAACATATATGGATGCCATGGAAACTATCCAAGGTCTTACACCGGGTGCCATGGGAATTCCCACATGGTCTTAGCCCATTGCCATGGGATGGTCTTAGCAAACATATAAGGATGCCATGGAAACTCTCCAAGGTCTTACACCAGTTCCATGGGAACCCCCACATGGTCATACCCTGGAATGCCATGAGAACCCCCACATGGCTGATATCCAACTTCCTCAGCAACCCCTTGGGGTTTTCCATGCAAGTATCACAGAGACTGCTAGCATATCATATATCACATAACCAACTAGTATACAACATATCACATAATAGGCCATGGGAACCCCCACATGGTCTTAACTGACTACCATGGGAACCCCCACATGGTCTTCGCATAAATACATAACATATTGACAACCCATTCGCGAGTAACCACTACTTGCAAGAGTCACGAAGACAACTGGCATACTACATATAACTAATTGCCATGGGAACCCCCACATGGTCTTATCATAAAGACATAATGTATCGATATCACACTCAAAATAATCATCACAACCAAATACATGCGCCTTCGTTGGTGCCTTCGACCCATTGGTATGGTGAGGAGACTCACCTCGAATGATGAAGTTCCTGAATGAAATCCTTAGTTGCTGCCCCACCGGCTTCCCGAGCTGTCAATACTAATCAATAAACCCAATTAGCAATTGGGTTCCATTCTATCATCCTTGATCCATACATGGGGTAAAATAACCAGTATACCCTTGGCCCAGTATTATCCAAAACTAAGGCCCAAACCCAAAACAAAAGCCCAACATTGTAATGTCCATAAATCCATCAATGGCCCAATTTTCCAAATTGAGCCCCAACCCCTTGCGGGCCTGATCCTAAGCATATAATCTCCTTCATTATAATTTGGTTTACTCCAAGCACCCCTTGGGACTAACTTGTCCAAAGTCAAAGTCAAAGTCAACGCTCCGAGTTGACTTAACTCGTCGAGTTACCTATCAACTCGTTGAGTCCACCCCAAAGTCAGAATCGCGATATTGCGGTCCAAATCGTCGAGTTTTCCTACAACTCGTTGAGCTCCTCTATTTCCAACAAAATCAGGATAATCCCAAACCAACTCGTCAAGTCCACTCATAAACTCGTCGAGTTCTTCAGTCTGACAACCTACTTAATGCATTAAGTCCTTTCTCTTGAATTCAAAGGTTTCAGACCTCAGATCCCCATCCTTAGAGATGTCTAGAATGCTAAAGTTTCCAACTTTACCCCAAAGGTGTTGGATTAGGTGTCTAAGCCCATAACTATAATTGGTATGTACTTGACCCGAAAGTAGCATGGTCCATTTGGGTTGCAATTCACTGGAACAATTTGATAGGATGGATATTTGAGAAAGAGGTCATTTGTGATTTATTAATATATTATAAGTATAATATATTTATTGAGAAATCACATTGTTTAATTAGTATTGATCAAGAATTAATTTGGAATTAATTTAGTGATCAAAAGAGACTGATTAAATTTACGGGGACTGATTAGGTAAATCAGCAATACTTATAGTTTGGACCAATGATCCATGTTGATTAGGGTTGGACTAAACCTACATGAGAGTCCATGAAGGTTTTCCCCAAAAGGCCTATGAAATGTGAAGATTCATGGTGAATTAGGGTTTGCATGGATGAAACCCTAGCTATAAAAGTAACCCCTAACTCCCTAAAATCGGTTCATGTATATTTCTAAAGAAGAATACTAGCCGATTTTTGCTTCCTAGACTCTCTCTCACAAGCCTCCTTTTGTTCTTGGTGTGTTGTGAAACATTTGAGGCATCACACTTAGGGTGCTAAGCTCTTAAAGACCAAATACAAACAAGCTACAACAAGAGGAAATCTTCTAACTAGTTTTTATGATTCATATATGAAGTTGTATGCTAGTTTAGGCTTCATGCTTTGGAAAAACAATATTGCATGTATAATTAAGGAAAACTTAGATCCAAAGCATTAGGGTTGTATGTGCACCATAGGGATGTTAGAGTACATAAAACTCAACTGTGGTATCAGAGACATGGGTGTTTTCTATTATATTGATGCAAATGTGTTAATTTTCAAAGCTAAAAAAATTTCAATTTTTACTGTCTGACTACTGGACTCGACGAGTCCCATGAGTGGATTCGCCGAGTTGGATCATCTGGGGATGAACTCGTCGAGTCCATGCCCTGACTCGACGAGTTGGGCAGTCTGTTGGCATAATTTTTCGAGTTTTGGCCTGTTTTGGATTAGTTACATTACCATAAACTGTTTTGGTTCATAAAAATTGATTTTGTTGGTATGGTAATGATTACCCCATCCAATAACATGATGATTGCCAAATTTTAAGATAATTATTTAATTTTGTGAAAAACTAATTATTTGTAAAATTTGAATCATTTTGCTACAAGAGTTGAATTAGATCAATTTAGTAAAAGATAAAATGATATGATTATTTTATTAGTTTAAAGTTTGATCTAAATGTTTCTTGAAAAGTTTCATAAGTTGTCCTCAAGTTGTGGAACTTGAAAAAGTCTCATTCATGAAACAAATTAACTCCTTAAGTTATGGAATTCAAGAGTCTTGAAAGGTTACAAAACTTGCCATCAAGTTTAGGAATCTAAAAGGTTTTGAAGAGTTTTAAAACTTGCCCTTAAGTTTTGGAATTTAAATTTGATTAAAAGTTTTAATTGTGAAATATATTAAATTCTATGCCTTTTGGCTTCATAACTTAAATTTAGACTTAAAAGTTTAATTATGGCTTTATTGATAATTAATTAAAAGATTAATTAAAAGAGTATTAAAAGATTAATTAAAAGAGTATTAATAAATCTAGTTTAATTAATAGATTAAACCACCTAGTATTTTAAATGTGTAAAATACACCCTTATACTATATAAAATTAAAAGTTTAATATATTATATATGTATAAGTTAAAAGTCAGTCTTACCATTAGTAGGCCTCATTCACAAAGCTGGTCTATAAGGGGTGTTTAAGGAAGCGGCCTGTAAAATGACCGCCACTGTGTATACACTCTTACCCACCGCACCCTTGACCAGTAGAGGGTCGTTATCCGAATGGGTTTGATAGGACACTTAAATCCTCATAAAAAGTATAATGAAATAAAAAGTAATTGAACACTTTATAAATACCCAATCTTAGTTACTTTAGGAAAATGTGAATTTGGTGCTAATCCATGAAATTACACATTGCGCCTTATTGGTTAGTTAGTGGAGCGTGTGTGGTTAACCGACACACTAATGTGGACTAATGAAGGATGACAATGGGTTTCTCGTAAATTATCATTGATCAATGGAGCATGTGTGGTTAACCGACACATTGATTACGTGATTAATGACATCGAGAGTACCAAGCTAATTTGCATGGTTATTCACACCTTGTTTATGATCCTCGGTATCCCAGTCACAAACTTAAAGGGCATAATCGAGATTAAACTTGCCATTGAAAAGTTCAATGAATCTCAAAAGAATCTAGGAATTTCAATTCATTTAAAACCTAATGTTCATTTTCGTTTTTCATGGTGGAAATTGGTAAATCGTCATTTACCTACCTTCAAATATTTTTTACAATTAGATTACGACATCTCTCTTCCGAATTGTAGAATATTGTGTTGGGTCCTAGCCTTAATATTTCATTTGGTTGCTATATTAAGGACTTAAATCAACTAACTTGAATTTCTCCCTTTGTAGATTTATAGATCTGACAACTTTGGTCTACCTTATCCTTTTGGAAAAAGCTTTCCTTATAAAGATGATATTCCACAAGACGATCGAGGTGAAAGATTAATCTCTTCTTTGTGCTGTAATGGAACTTCTCTTCTTCCACCTCCTCCAATAACTCTCCCTGACCCACATGTTCGTCGACTTGAAAAGTTCAAGGTCACTCAAGCCCTATTGGCTAGAAAACACAAAGATGGAAAGTCTGTGTGTGCACACGTCTTGGAGATGAAGTCACACATTGATAAGCTGGGAATGTTAGGTGTCGTTGTCTCGAGGAAGTTGGCTGTTGACTTGGTTCTTCAATCACTTCCTAAGTCATATAGTGAGTTTGTTAAAGACTACTATGTGACAGACCACGACATGACCCATATCAATCTTACTTATTTGCTTATTGCTGCTGAATCAGCAATGATTTGGC